CTGAAACTGTGTTAAATGATAAATGAGGCAGATTGGAAATTGGTCAAGTTTATGGGCTAGTCAGGTAATCTCCCCAATCACACTGGGCCATGAATATTTCACTTGTCTCGGTCCTGCATCGTGATGGACAGCAAATAGCTACCAATGTCCATTTCAAGGTGTACATCCTCTTAGCTGTTGGATGTCCAGTCGTTTGGAAAAGCAGAAACCGTCAGACAAATCCCAGTCATTGCAGTTAAGGAAACATTGGCCAGTGTTTGATTTGGAAATACTTTATTCAGCACAGCAGTGTCAAATTCACCCCTTAACAATGAACGTCGTGTTTTAGTTTTTTACATTCAATATTCCTCTCCACAGACATAACAGGGTTATTATACTGTACTGTAAATCCATTAGATTTTGTGAATACTTTATTTTGCCAACATGACTTTAAATTTGTGAACAATGAGCTATTAGAGTCTTCAAGATTCTGATATTGGTAACCAAATCGTAGAAATCATTGCAAAAGATTTGAATTCCCAATTGTCTCTCCTTGCACATAAATGTGAAAATAAATCCCACTTGAAATATAAATGATTTGCAGGAATCACTTTTTGTGTGAATCCATAAGTCAGTCGGGTCCTTGAAAGCCTGGTTTACAACATAACTCATTGTACCTACGTACACTAGAGCATCAATCCACCAAGGCCTACACCCTATTAGATTTTAGAGGTCATTAGTCAAGATTAAAACCTAATAGATTGATCAGGGAAAAAAAATAAGTTATGTGGAGATTGTGGAGTACATCTGTAAGCCTTAGATTGATGGGCTGAAAGGCAACCAAGTTTATATAAACAATAAAAACCTTGTGAGTAAGCATATATCAGTTGTGTTCTGTCTGCCCCAGTGCTGGGACTGAAGGACAGGTTCTTAAACTGTCCAAATACATGAAGACCTCAGGTGTTCGTTAAGGCCTATGGGGCTCTTGTTAGCTTACCTGGCCCAAAGAGTCAAGTGAGCGATAGGGATACTTTGGCATCTGTCATCTGGGGGAGGAAGTGGTGGGTGGGGGATCTCTTGTTTAGAAATATCAGAAGTATCAGTTGAATCGTAAAGTTTCTGTTCGTTGTTTTAAAGTAAAGAAATATTAATTATCAGATGAACATAGACAAATACTTCTTTGATTAAAGCTGATATCTTGAGGGAAAACCTTAATGAAGAAAGCAGTAAGACATCTCAATGTCTTGATAGGATCTATCTTTATGATAATGGATGGACACTCTATGATCAGACTCCGAGCATTCATAGATATACTGTTTGTAATTATGTAATGCTTGATCTTTGTAATTGGAGAGCTCCTACAGGTTGGTATTCTGTTAAGAATTTTGTCTTCAGTTTTATATGTTTTGATCCTTAAGCAAAATGACGAATTTGTAAAGCTTTTATACAAATTATACACACAGAAAACTATCCTGATATCCTGAACACAACAGATTGTTTGTGCATACAGAACCAATATGAGTCTTTTGCCTGGCAAAAGTTTGCTACAGCATCCATGCTGTCTACTACTAGCATAAATTCTCAGAACAAATTTTTCCATGGTAGCATAGAAAATCATGTATTTCCAAAAGGTGCTTGAATTAAAAAAGTATTATTATGAAAAAAAAAAATTGTATTGACTGTCAAGAAAATTAACATTATGAAAAATGTCTGGACTAGCAAGGAAACACTTCTATAAAACATGTCTGGACTAGCAAGAAAACACTATTATAAAACATGTCTGGACTAGCACAGAAACACTATTATAAAACATGTCTGGACGAGCAAGGAAACACTATTATAAAACATGTCTGGACGAGCAAGGAAACACTATTATAAAACATGTCTGGACTAGCAAGGAAACACTATTATAAAACATGTCTGGACGAGCAAGGAAACACTATTATAAAACATGTCTGGACTAGCAAGGAAACACTACCATAAAACATGTCTGGACTAGCACAGAAAAACTATTATAAAACATGTCTGGACGAGCAAGGAAACACTATTATAAAACATGTCTGGATGAGCAAGGAAACACTACCATAAAACATGTCTGGACTAGCACAGAACTAAAAACTATTATAAAACATGTCTGGACTAGCACAGAAACACTAGTTTGGAAACACTATTATAAAACATGTCAGGACGAGCAAGGAAACACTATTATAAAACACTTTTGGACTAGCACAGAAACACTATTATAAAACATGTTTGGACTAGCACAGAAACACTATTATAAAACATGTTTGGACTAGCACAGAAACACTATTATAAAACATGTTTGGACTAGCAAGGAAACACTGTTTTAAACAATTCCTGGACTATTTAGGACATGCTATTATGAGAAAGTGTCCAGACTATTACAAAATAATCCACTGGTGTTCTTTATTTATCCATCAATAAAGTTTGTGTCCAGTAATTTATTACACTTAAACTGTTGATGAAGGTCTTTGTGCCCTGAGTTTATTGCAGGATAGATATGTCACTAACAAAGAAATCTAAAGGTTCCATTGTACACTGAGAAGATATCTCATTCTGTGAGACTTCTGTTAAAACTATATACTGGGGTAAGACAAGCAAAATTCCTCCCTTAACGCGGAAACAAAGTGAGTGTACTTGCCATATTTCTCTTTATGTAAAAGGTCTTATTCCCTAGATAGATCATGCATGTGTTCTCCGCAGGAAATATCACCATCTATTTTACACTACAACACTAACACTGTAGATAATTATATATATTCCTGTAAATTTGCATGGAAATGGAGAATTGGTGTAATTATGTAACAGAAAACACCTTTGGTAATTTGTTCTGTTAGATATAGTTAAGTCTTCAATTTTTTTTTTCACATTACCTTTGAATTTTTGTAGGATGATGGTAGGAAACAAGAGGAAAAGAATTAAAACTCAGCCCACCTTTTAGCATTAAACTAAATTGCAGCATATGGCAAAATATTGGAGCTTGTTGCAAAACATTAAACATGTTTCCATTATCAGTCCCCTATGGAAATCAATGGCGCTGTGAACTTTCAATAAGTCCTTAGACCATTCTTCACTCTTTTACAACATGAAGAGTTAACTGGATTTAACCTATTTGATTAGAAAAACAACTTATTTTACAATGGGAAGCAAATCATAAAATATCGACGCGAGGATGGGCAAGAGTTATCAGCTGTAAAATCTAAATGTTGTGTTATGTTTACAATCCTCAAAGGCATTCCTTTACACTGATTTCCACTCAACCTTATTTGTTGTATTAGAAGGCTTTATGGTGTGTGTCAGTTTCAGCAATATATCAGAAGTAATATTACTTTATGGACAAGACCTGTGCGTGATGGGACATTCACACATTGCCTCCCCTTAATTATAGCAAAAAAACATAATAATTCTAAAGAAATTTTTTTTATAGAAAGTTTTTAAAATTTTGAAAAAATTCTTTTTGCGACAGGTTAACTTTTTGTCTAGTTAGTGAATTGCTTGTAAAATAGATCTAGATTTAGCAATGATAAGCTGATGAGGCATTGCTCTGATACCAAACCGTCAGTAAAGCAAGGTCATCGTCAAGCCTATGTTGACTAGGTTCAATATTTTAATCTTGTTGGGTGACTGTGCCACGGTCTGGAGACGACAGCATAGTATTATCACGGGACCAATTATATTGCATTGTTAGTGCTCATTATAGGGAATACCAAGGAGACCGTGTCCCCATTCTCCGGGGAAAACCCATATAACTTGCATGCTTGACTTTCTTAGTGTGGTCCGTTTTATCTGTCTGGTGTTGTCATCATGACCCAAGGTGAAGGTCAGACATCTTGCCTCCTGTAAACCAGTATGGAATCATTTCATGGAAATTAGGAGGGATTTTCGATAGTTGAACTATGTTAAATTTTTTCAGTGGTTTTTATATTTCTTTTGATGTGAACTGTTACCTTTTGCAGTGATATTTAAAAGATGATTGCATACTGTAATTCCATCTGTCTGTCTCTTTGTAGTATGAAGACCTGTGTATACCAGACTTTCAGTTGTTTGTGCCCCTTGTCTGTCCACACATCTACCTATTCTGAGCTACAGTAATGGATTAAACCTAGAGCAATATATCTTAACCTGACTTACTCTAATCTAAAATTCTCTTCATTCTGACAAATTCATTTTGTCTCAGCAATTACCTCCGGGTATTTTGAATCTTTGTAATGCACAATTCTCTTCAAAGGAGTAAAATTAATCTGGTTTGGAGAAGAATCAAACTTAAGTAGATACATTGTCATGTATTTTAGGGATTTTCACAAACTGGTGACATTATCCACCTTATCTCATTAACGACTGTATGTATTAAATTCATCATTGGATATGTTATGTAAGGTTACAAATAAATAACATTTCTCAGGAAACATTTTTTTTTGTAAAATCCAATATTCAAAGTTCAAATTGAAAATTTTGTGAAACAAAGTTTGAAAAACTTTTCCACAAGTTCCACAAGGTCTAGAATCTTGATATTTCACATGTAAGATTTAGGGGTCATTTGCTATCAGATTTTATGATATGAATAACCCTCTTTTGAGGTCACAGGTCAATTTATTGATGGTGATGATATTTAGTAATTTGTATATTGTGTTCAATTACTGTTGAAAGTAGTAAGAATTTAATGTGTCAAATGTCTACTACAGGTTTTCGGAAGGGGTCACATGAAGAAAGTTCTCATGTAACACAAATAAATAACCTGAAGTTGTACAGTCTAGGGTCTAAATATGTAATATATAAATCGAATGATTGACTATCATGTTTGTGAAAATGGTTGACCTTTAGGTAAGAGGTTGAATTATAGGTGAAAAGCCTGTCAGATTGATGGCCAACAATTTTCATCTCTGTTGAAAAGCTGTAGTGCCTTGTTTGTTTACCTGTCCAATGTTAAGGTACATTTGTGCAAATTATTCATAAATAAAAACAAGGAAATAAACAAAAAGTCCACTTTTGTATGTTTGTAGAACCCTGAGATTGAATCCTTACTTGCCAAGTGTGTACTCAAACAGTCACCTGTAGAGGACAAGCAATCTGGCTCGCAAAGTAAGAATCTATTTGTAGTAAAATGAAGTATCCTTCAAATATACATCCTTATGTGTCACCAATTCCTGTGTATCTTTCAATTGTGTCATCAATTATGTGTGTTGTTTAAATTACATCAATTCATGTATGTCTTTTAAATTTCGTCAATTCATGCCTGTCTGTCAAGTGTCATCAATTCATGTGTGTCTTTTAAATGTCGCCTATTCATGTGTGTCTTTTAAATGTCGCCTATTCATGTGTGTCATTTATATGTCACCAATTCATGTGTGTCTTTTAAATGTCGCCAATTCATGTGTGTCTTTTAAATGTCATCAATTCATGTATGTCTTTTAAATGTCACCAACTCATGTGTGCCTTTTAAATGTCATCAATTCATGTGTGCCTATAACCTATCATCCTTGTCATTTTGTTGTGTTTCTTTAAAACATCTTATCAATGATTGTACATGTATGCTTTCAAATGTATCATCAATTCTTTTGTTCCTTTGACATATATCATCATTGTTCTTTTGTGCTTTTTAAATATGCCATCATTTTTTGTGTGCCTTTAAGATGTTAAATGATAATAAACATCAGTTTATTGATATTGTGAGCTTGATCTCCTATCAACATTTAACATAAATAATAAAAAAAAAACTGAAAACCTGAGGTAACAAATGATAAATGGTATACTTTTTGCAAATTTTAGAGTGTTTTCACAATCTAGTAATTATTTTACATAAATTTAGTATACATATTATCAATAAAATGGTTTTAAGCAGGCAACAGGATACCTAAAAAAATGTCTTCAACTATGAATTATTTTCACGTTGCTGTTTTGCCTTTATCTGTGACATCTTGTTAATGTTTTTCCGCCTTTGTCAACAGATTCCCCTGTATCCATCCATGATCTTTTCTCAGCCTTTGAAGCCAAGGATTTAGGAATGCTGAACACCTTGAATCAGGCTATCCGTGAATTTGATGCCCGAGTGAGTCTCAAATCCACAATAGTTCGAGATGACTCCGATAAAGCAGTTACTATGCTTCGACAGCAACATTCCATTAGGAGGTTTGACCTGCGAGATCTCAAGCATGTCCAGTCCCTGGACCGTAGTGACCCTTTGTATATCTTTAATCGACTTTCAGTTAGTGAGATGAAGTCAGACAATAAAGCAGAGGATGGAAATCACAGTGCTGATGGTGCTTGTAACAAGGGTGCCAGGGATAGAAGTCAGGGTCTTGAAGGAGCTTCAAGTATAATAGAATCATCATCAGATGAAAGTTTGGAAGTGAAAGATATATCTTTAGAAAGAAATAACATCCAGGAAAATTTCCTAGTTACATCTGACAAATCTGTTTCAGAAATAGAAAACGAGGATGTGTTTGATAATGGTGCAGACAATGAGGTGGTAAGTGAATGCCTCGGTCAACCTGATCATTCCAGTCAGTTTGTTGAAGGCGCATTAGTTACACTTACTGATGACGTACAAGTGGTCAAAGATCTATCAGGTTTGACCTATACTGAAGAAACCTGTGAGGAGAGGTCAAGCACTTCAACAACACAGATTATAGAATCAGAACACTCACATATTACAGACGAAGCAAAAGTCATGGAAAAATCAAGCATTTCCATGACACAGACAACTGAATCAGAACTGTCTCAAATTACAGGAAAAAGAGAAGTCAAAGACAATAACACAGTGTGCCTTATGAATGAAGAGAGTTCAACTGAGTATGAATCTGAAGGGGACATTTTTGAAGAGATGGAGAGGAATAAAATGAGATCTCCTCAGCTAGCCAGCAAGGCAGTGTAATCTTGTGATAAGTTCTGTAGATAGAGTATTCGTATGCATTATAGTCATTGTAATATGCTTGATGGATTTTCAATATTTTAGATTTGAGCTTTGAAGTACTGTAAAATCATGTATTTTCATGGGAATCAATTTTTGTGGTTTTCCAAAAATTACTTCTTGATGGACTTTTGATTTGTGGATAAATATAGCTAAATAAATCTACTTAATTTTAACATTCATTAACATATGAATTCAGATCTAGAGTACCCACGATTTCAATGAAAATCCCCCGAATATTGGTGATTTTACAGTATTTCACAATGTTAAAAATTCGCTTGACATGTACTAAAAAGTATTAAAAATATTAAAACGTAATTTGCTGACACAAAATAATTGAAGACTACAAATTATTTTGTTGATAAAATGTAATTTTTATTCTGAGGCTGGCTTGTATTCTTAACATCAGATTCTATATCATCTTCCTACTGTTTACAGCTTTGTGTCAAATGAGGTTCTACTGCACATGATATACATGCACTATACTTTATTCCTGCTTAATTTGACATCAAACCAGTATTAATTTAATATGATTGTTTATATACATGATTGAATTGATAAGGCCTTTTGAAAATAAAACATGAACACTATTACTCCTGAAAAGATTATCAAATGTCGGGTTTCAGTAAAAACACATTTTCAAGACTCCATTTTTAATTGATTGATATATGCAATAAAATTGTAAAAGGACTAAATCTTGATTTTGAATAACTTTCAATGGTGAGTCTTAAAATGTGTATACCATGCAATGGTTTGTTTTCTTCATTGAAGAAAAAATGAACGGAAAAAAATGCATGAGACCATGTTTAAATACTGTTATATAGTACAGTACAGCTATTTGAAAAGATAATGAGTTAACATAGTGGTGCTTTGTTAAATATAATTAAACAAAAATCACTGTTAATGCTATGTTTGTTACAAACAAAAGTTACACCCTCCAAGCTGCTGGGCAGATTTCACTTTTGCATCAAAACATCTAGATGAGCAGAATTTAACATTACCCTTTGGTGAGGGGCATAGGGTCTTTTGGTCCCTTGGTGTTGGTTAGGTATGTTATATTTTTTCATCTGTTTTAATCAATTGGTACTTAAGAAATTGTTGTCAAGGTCTTGAGAGCTAATTAATGGCAATTTAATTGGTAATAGCAAAAGTTGAAAAAGATTGGAATGCTAATTAATTAGAAATTTAACAATTACTAATTAAGTATTTAAGTGCTAATTATTGACATTTCAGCCAATAATATTGTTCATTAAGGTAAAATACCTGGCAGTTATAACATGTACTAGAAAAAGTTTTGAGTGCTAATTAATGACAATTTAATGGACACTTGAAAAGTCATGTGTGCTAAATGAATAACAATTTAACTGATACTAAAAACATTTGAGTGCTAATTAATGGTAATTAATTATAACTTAGAAACAGTTGTGAGTGCTTAATGATAATAATTTAACCCATACTAGTTAATATATCAGTGTTAGTTAATGAGTACTTGATTACTCTGGTGCTGGTAAAAAAACAGATTTATCAATTAACATTGAAGATTCAATCAATGAAAAGTTATTTTAAGACAATTAAAATTTAAACTCTATATATTTAACTAGAATTTGCAACACAGTAAAATTTGGCATTCTTTGAAGTGATATACCCAGGTATGTGCAATGCTGTGATAAAAGATATCTGCTTTGTATAACACAATGACACAAACATGTTTTTGTTACCTACTCAATGATGTTCAACTCTTAATTTTTGAAAATAACACTATTTGTAAATTTTGAAATTTGAAAGTCCCTGTATATAACTCATTACTGGTTACTTACCATATGAAGGATAATGCAATGTAGGAATCAATTTCCTGTAAATTAACACTATGATTCAGATCACTATATTAATATCGCTCTGTGTTCATGGTCCGTGGTCTGTTGTCCATCCGTCCATAAACAATTTTTGTTATTGCTATTTCTTGAAAAGTCCTCGGTTGATCTTTCTCAAATTGCATATGTAGCTTCCCTTAACTTTGAAAGTTTGTTATTGCTATTTCTTAAGAAGTCCTTGATGGAACTTTCTCAGATTCTATATATAGGTTTCCCCTTGGTCTGTAGTTGTGCCTATGTAAAATTGAGCTGATCAGAAAAAAACAAAACTGCCAAAAGGTGGCCATCTTGGATTTTGACTTTGAAAGTTTGTTATCGCTATTTCTTGAGAAGTACTGGATGGCTCTTTCTTAAATTCACATGTAGGTCCTCCTTGGTCTCTAGTTGTGCCAATTTGATTTTTGGAATGATCAAAAAAACAAAATGGCCGACAGGCAACCATCTTGGATTTTGTTATTGCTATTTCTGCTGATGTACTGAATGGATATCTCTCAAGTTTCATATGTATGTTCCCTTTGATCTCTCCTTGTGCTCATTTGCTTTTGGGACTGATCAGAAGAAACAAAATGGCTTCCAGGTGGTCATTTTGGATTTGGCAGTTAAAGATTATCATTTATTTCTGCAAAGGAATGTTCAAATGTCTTATCATTAAAAGCAAAACCAGAGAAGAGAAAAAGAGGCAAAATTTCCAATATTTAAAGAGCATATAAAGATCAACAATGGTGGGCGCCAAGATCGCTTTGGGATCTTTTGTTTTATTGTATGGACATACCAAAGAATAAATGTCATCACCCAATCAGATATTATTGTCAAAGTGTATTGTAACACTTCGTTTTGATTGCTATTCTTATGCACCTCTGGAGATTTACAGTTGGCAAAGGATATAGCTATTATAATATTATATGTAATGATATATGTTTACCTTTCCCCAATCTTTGGGATAGGTCGGAGAACATATGTAAAAGGAAAGACCGCCACCATCATTGAAGAACATGAGCTAGGAATTCAAATCTCAAACACTTGATATTAAACACTTCTGTAACAATACTGTTTGTTAGTCTGCAATATCATTTACCAGGTGATTTTATGTACAACATCGTCACTGTATGATCATAACTAGGCTGTTACAAGAAGGTACAGATTTGACAATGGGATATAGCTATATGAAAAACTTATTGTTTTATGAGCATGTTTGCTATTAGAATAAGTGCTCAGCACACTGATTATTAGAACATGAGAAATATTAAGAGAGGTGAATTGAATATCCTGAAATCTTACACACCTGACAAACTTTGAATAACACTTTGACTTGATTTAAAGAAAGTTTATCATTTGTTTAATGGGTTTTGTGTCTGTTACAATTATATTTCTGCAAACAAGATAAGAACACAAATTCTCTGACCAAATTGTTGCTAAACTGGGATGAATTATGAATTTTACTGATTGTGCAATTTTTAAAATTGACTCGAAAATGTGATCTAATTAAAAATTACTGAATATAGCCCTATATGTGATATTTCAAAATTCTGAAACTCTTGAATTTTATTTTCAATCTGGACTTGCCTGAAAATTGCCCATTATGTGATATTTTAACTTTGCTGAAGCAGATGTGTTATTTTCTATCTGAGAAATGTCTACATATGTGTCATTTTGATTACTTTTCTAAAATGAATTGATTAAATATACTTGATAATGATGTTTTCTTGTAGGTTTTGGTAAGATTTCCATACATACAATTGAATATTGTTCAACGTTATTGATGAATAACTTAATTATTAAATGTCAAGTTGTACAGTAAAATGTGATGATAATTTCCATTTTCCGTCCATATCACAATAAATTATGTCATTGACGTGTACAGCATGTAGATTAGTCAATATTGTGATATGTGTTTAAAAAACAACAACAGAATTCCTCATCTTTATAGACAATGTCATTTTAAAGAGAATGGTTTCTTTTTGAATTTTCAAACTTTCCATGTTTACACTTAGCTTTATTTTGAAAATATTCTCAATTTTTCAAGTGTTGATTAAATAAGAAAGATTTCATGTTTATTGATGGCCTTACAATTTTTGTTATGAGATGATTCAGATGAAGTAATTTGGATTGAAATCATTTGCTTCAAAATTAGTAGATCTCATTGTGTAATCTATTTATGATACACAGAATGTTCTCAAAGAGTATAAAATGTTGCAATATTGTCATATTCATTGTGAAACTTGTCTGATAACGTTGTTGCTCCCTAAACAATACTGTGATTTTTCGAGGTTCTGCTATAATGTAGCATACAGGTGGTTTTAATATAAAGCGGAAGAGATCATCGACACAATTGGTACCTATTGTTATCATACTGTTAGCCTATAGTATTTTTTTGTTACATTTATGTGATATTAAAACAGTTACCACAGTAATGACGAGATTTGTGTTGAATTCTGTTTTCAAGGATGGTACAAAAGAAAAATAGAGACACATTTCAATTCAAATTTACAATTAAATATAGTAGAGTTGAACAGAGAATTAAATTGCTTTATACCTCCTTTGGCTAGTCAGTCTTGCTCAAGTCCTAAAGTGTTGAATTTAAGAGTCGACTGGGGAAAGATCAGAGTTAAAGGAAAATGTAAAAAAAAAAAAAAAAAAACCTGAAAAGGAAATAGAGCAATAAACCTGAAACCTGCATAATATGCCAGATTTCATCATGTCATAAATTTGAAAGGACTCCTTTTAAGACTTTAAATACTTCAGAATTGATATCAGCTTACATATACTCTGGAGTAGATTACAACATCAACTGCAGATAAGAATTATCAGCCATACTAAAGTAGAGATTTACATACCGACCAGTGTTTATTTATCACAGAAGTATTCACGACTAGAAAGTCTGCAGGTGCATGTAGGTGTGTCAGCTCTATTGATGTATTACACATACAGTCAAAGCAAGAAAACTTTGCAAATTTTGTGATTTTTAACTTGTTAATGGGTTTTGTTTTCCCCAATGAAGTTAGTTTTAAGCCAACTAGTATCAAATGGTGGGTTATTCAAATGGCTCTAAACAAAATGGCCGATAGGCAGCATTCTTGGATTTTGACTTTGCAAGTACGTTTTCACTATTTCATGAGAAGTGCTAGATGGATCTTTCTTAAATTTCATAAGTTGGTTCCCCTTTGTCCCTTATTGTGCCCATTTGATTTTGTGTTTGATCAGAAAAACAACATGGCCTACAGATGGCTATTTTGGATTTTGACTTTGAAAGTTTGTTATCACTATTTCATAAGAAGCACTGGGTGGATCTTTCAAATTTCCTATGTAGGTTGCCCTTTATCCCTAGTTGTGCCCATTTAATTTTGGGTCTGATCAGGAAAACAAAAAGGCTGACAGGTGACCATCTTGGACTTAATTTCGAAAGTTTATTATCGCTATTTCTTGAGAATTGCTGCATAGATCTTTCTCAAATTTCATGTATAGATTCCTCTTGGTTCCTAGTTGTGCCTGTTTTGGTTTGGAACTGATCAGTAGAAAAAGGTGGACAACAGGCAACCATCTTGGATTTTATCGAGTAAGGATTGTTATCTCTATTATTTCTCAGAAAGACTGAGTACTGGATGATCTCTCTCAAATTTCATAAGTGTGTTCCCGTTGGTCTCTACATGTGCCCGTTTGGTTTTTGGACTGATCAGAAAAACAAAATGGCTGACAGACGGCCATCTTGTATGTTTTTAATGAAATTTGTTATCGCTATTTCTTGAAAAGTACTTGATGGATCCTTCTCTCAGATTTCAATTGCATGTTTCCCTTGGGCTCTAGTTTTACCCATTTGATTTTGGGACTAATCAGAAAAACAAGATGGCTGACAGACAACCATCTTGGATTTTGATTTTTCAGGTTTGTTATCGCTATTTCTTGAGCAATACTGCGTAAATCTTTCTAAGATTTCATGTTAATTTTTTCTCGGTCCCTAGATGTAACTGTCTGATTTTGGGATTATAAAAAAAAAATAAAACAGTCGACAGGCAGCCATTTTGGATTACATCTAGTAAAGATTGTTATCCTTCTTTCTTAAAAACTTCTGAATGGATCTCCCTCAAATTTCATGATTATGTTTCTAGGCAACTATTTTGGCTTTGGCAGGTAAAGATTATATCTATTTCTACAATATTCAGATTTCTGATCATTTAGAACAAAAACAGGGGGGGGGGGGGGGGGGGGTAAAGATCCAACTTTCAAAGAGCAAATGAAGATCAAACAATAGTGGTCGCCAATATCCATCTAGGATCTCCTGGTTTTCTTTTTACTTGATATATCTAGTTGTTGAAAAGGCCATGCCTTTTTATTTTCACCCTTTTAACTTCGACAAGAGTATGAGATTTACCTTTAAAGAATTCAGTACATCAATTTGTCCATCTGATGATTAAAGCAGCGACATGCCTACCTTAGTATTTGCAAATCAAAAGGGGAGAAAAAAGTACTAAAACTAATTTTTTAATCAGCTTAAGTAGTTAGGAACATGATTCGAGCAATCCAACACTTTTGGTTTTATCAAAGACATACAGGGGTGACACGCACTTTATATGATACATTACTGGGATTAGTGACCTAAAGTTCTTAATTGACTGAGTCAATCAGGTCACGTCACGAGAACGGTGTTTAACGCACGAAAACACAAGACAGCATTACACATAGGGAAAACGATAACAGATTGCAAGGACAAATAAAACGTTGGCCCATTTTATATGAAAACTCATTAATGTTATCTCGGACTTAAAAACGACGAAGACTACTTGGCAACCTCCGAGAAAATCGGATGTGAAAAAGTACCTGTATTATAGTAATGTTCAAGGAAGAATTAATGTTACTTTATTCACGGTCTGAAAGCTGAAGCTTTGTCACCTACAAATACACATAGATGTATGTGATATTCTGTTAATAGCCTGGAAAGTAAGCTGCCTTTCCCGAAATAACTGAATCCATTCACCGCCAGGACAGAAACCTATATAAGGAATCTGGCCATGTAGATGAATTCTTGTTCAGCATTTGTCAAGTTGTTTACTGGTCAAAAAAGCCTTAATGCCTGGAAAGTACTGAAGCACCTGTCAAACATAGTATTCGTAAATAAGAAAAGTTGCGATGTGTTGTTGCTCAGAATGAGGAACATTTGAGTAGCGTTCAAGTCTCATTCGTTAACGTCATACTGTTGGTAAATGTCAATGTATGAAGCTTAGGAGTGAGTATGTAGAATTAGTAATCAATAGGTATACAGAATCACAGTGATTGTACTGAGGTAATTGATGCGGGGATGTAGATAGTACCAGCATCTTAGGACAAATACGCAGAAAACGAATAGTACATACTATAATTACAATGTACTTTTAATTAAAAAAAAAAAAAAAAATTACCGACATGTTAAAATCTTATCCTCAAAATCATTCAAATCTTTTCAAAAGATGAAACAAACGAAAGATTTTCACTATCCTTGGGTAAATAATGATCGAGGAACAAGTACAATGACAAAGTACACCAGGTGTTTCGAAAGAGTAAGTGTCTTTTAGTTCAGCTACGTCATTCACCATGCAAATCTTGATAAATCCAAGTAAGTAATGTCACGCTCTTAAATGGGAAGCAAATTTATAATGCTACAGTGTTAATTGATTCTGTATACTGATAATGTTCCTGTAAGTATTTCACTTTCCTAAATAATCTTTGTTGGATATGCTACTGAGAGCGAAACCATCATACTTACTTAAACCACGCAAATTCTTATTGATGGAGCTCTTTGCTACGATTGCGTAAAACTGCAAAGCTTTTCAAATTTTAACTTAGAACATGAAACGATTTTAGGACGAGTATGGTTTTAAAAGCTCTAAAGCTTCTTCCTTTTTACCAACAACTAGGTTTGGCGTTATAAATCTCCGTATAGATGTGTGCAGATGTATCAAGATTACAGCGTAGTATTCCTTGGAAAAGGTAATGTCTAACGATGAAGTGTAGCAGGGTGTTGATTTAGTTCCATTGTAAGTAAAAACGTACCGATACCACCATAAGAAATATAGATTTTAAGTTTCAAAGATGCCAAGCTTTGAATGCTTCTAATGCATTCTTGCTAAAAACAGCATTAGAATGAAAAATTATTAAGAGGGAAGGTATATTTCTTTTTACTTTATAACTTATAAATTAAGATTATTTCATGTCTTTGGTACATGATAGTATACAAGACCTACACCTTTTAATATGAATAGAATCTGATACACAACATACAACCAAATCAATTGAATTTTTTTAAGTATCATATCTTACTGGTCAGGGAAGAGGAAATGCTTCTATTAATGTTTTTCGAAATGTATTTATAATTAAACTTGCAATGGGAAATCAGACAGATCCGTAACTATCTTAAAATTTTTACCTTGTGCTTCAATCGTGAAGATAAAAAATATCTTCCCTTACAGAAATACGCGTAAACTTCAATTTGAAGCTGTATTTACTCTCTCAACATTATGAAAGTATAACGACCGATGGTAAATTAAATACATTGTGGTACCGCTAGCGTGTTTAAAGATAAGCTGTAGTTAGGGACCATTCCCCCATATCTAAGAGATTGGGATTAATTTTTTTCGCTGGTTTAAAGGACAGCTGATAGAAAAGAACTTAGCAGAACCGGAAGTGCTGTATTATGTGAAAAAAGGCCGTACTGAAAGAGGCATTACCAAAGCTTAGATTAAAGTTTGATTTTTTTTATTTACAAATACGTCATCAGATCACCAAAACATGTTTCTTGACAAAGAAGAATGACTAAGATATTCTGAAATAACCACCACGCTCCTGGAACAAAACTTGTGCCCATCGTCTCATACCATTAACAAGACGTCGAAGCTTGTTCTGAGGAAACTTTTGCCAATTCTGAATCTGAAAAGTGGCTCTCATCAGTCCAGTAGACTCTTTGCCAAAACCTAATATTCCATATCCGGTGAGCACGTGCCCATTGCAGTGTTGCTTGTTTGTGCCTTCCAGCGAGAGCGTACTAGTCTATTGTTTATTTACGGGCTACTGTCCTCTGAGCCTGTTAGCAGTGGTGAATAAGGTTCGCTTGGCCTTTCTACTTGAAGTCTATTTGCTCTATCTGTAGCCTTTCGAGGTCTGGCAGACCTGGGACGCTCGTCAATATGTTCGACTTGGTTAAGACTTAAGACGCTGCATAATTGAGAAATAACAAAATGGCAGACATGGAAATATGCAGCTTCTTGTCTGTATGTCATACAACCTTGAACTATTACACAGGCTTGTCATCTTTCAACATTTGTCAATTTTCGGTGTGCCATTTTTAAACACAGCATGAGCACATGTATGATTTACCAGTATTACACGCACAACGCTGCCTTACGTGTCAAAATAAAGTTGTGTTAAAGTACAGAGTATCCCAGTT